AGGCAAAGGAGGCATGTCTGACTGAAAGGCCTGGGACCTTAGTTGCTGTGCTCTGTGAATTCCCAAGGAAAACCAGGTCACATAAACCACAAGGGCCAGAGCCATGGAAAACTCTATTCCTTTGTTTGACTTTTAGGGAATAGAAAATGTGCATTATGATTAATAATGAAATTCTGAGCTAAAGGAAAATCAAATGTTGAATATGGTTTTGAACTTGAAGTGCCAACTCAGTAGTTAGTTTGATGTTTATTTCAGAGGACAAAGCAATGGAGTAGCAGAAATTTCATATGGGACTCTACTCACTAAATGTTTAAGTTTGGCTAGAGTGTCCATTTCTGATTTTCCCCTCCAGCCTAACCAGATGTGCTCAGAAAATTTGGTTCCCCCTGAATGTGTACATCTGTCAAAATTTCTGTCAATTTTAGCATGACTGCCAAGGGAGTGAACAAAGAGAGTTAGTGATTAACTTCAAAGAACTTTGTTGGAGAGGAATAAAGATATTTAAGGCCTATTTTGTGAACTAATTGCATTTGCATATTTATAGGATTTACTGATATAGCGGTAATTAAAAACTATTTAGTAGTCTTAAAGGACACATAACTCAGTTGCTGTTTGCATAATAAACACTTCCTTATTACGTTTGCATAATAAACCCTCTCCTCTTGCTTCTTCCAGAAGACATTGGTCCATCAAAGAGGCCCCATATCTTACTTGGAAATAATAGAGAGACAGTGTGAGGGCTCACAGAGATGTAACAGGGGGGCATCTGAAAGAAACATATTTCTAGATACTCTCTTAACGCTGGGCCTGGCCTAAACTGCTGTCAGAGAATGGCAGATTCAAACCTTCGGTTAAGTCTTTGTTTCTTTTGCCAAGTGATATTACTTAAGCAGTATGAATGCCTAGTGCCTCAGGATTCCAAATTTTTGACTTAAATATACCGATCTGCCTGAAAAGCCTGAATGAGGGTCACCTCCATACTCATCCTTCCTATGAAGATGTGTAAGGGGGCTCATCAGAAACAACGTGAATAAAAAGCTTTCTCTGGTTGAAAAGTGCCACAGTTAAGGAAAGGAGACAGTTTCCATGAAAAATTAAAGGCTAGAGTTATGGGTGATACCAAATCTAAAAGTACTAGGGCTGGCTGGTTAGCTCAGTTGGTTAGAGCACAGCCTTATAACCCCAAGGTCACAGGTTCAGATCCCTGTACTGCCAAAATAAATAAATAAATAAATAAAAAGAATGGGCACTAACCCATCCACCCTTCCTTCAGTTGGTCAATAGCATACACTAGCAATCCAGCATTAAAAAAAAAAAAAAAAATTACAAACCTAACAGTACTGAGTAAATAAACTAAACCCAGACAGGACAGTAAGGTTAGAAAAAGAAAAGATCTGAGCCAGCTGACAGTACAGAGCAGGGCACTCAAGGAAAGACCAAGAAGCATCTGTGTATAAACTACTTTGAAGACAAGTCCCTCACACAAAACCATTCCTATCTTGGCAGAATTCATCAGCCAATAAAGAGCTATAATTGGCAGGATCACCAGGCTGCTGTTAGGTTAGCTAATGAAGGCCATAATGTACCTGTATTACACATCATTAGCAATGGCCTTCCAGTAACAGATGGGCATCTGAGAAAGTGAGAAGAAAAGGGAGGGAAGCATGTCTCAGAATGCCGGACTTAGAGTCATGGCTTACTAAAATGCATGGTAGGAATACAATGTTGATCATCATCTCGATTCAGCCTTTGCATGAAGGGAAGCTTCCCTTTCCATAAAAAGTGCTACCTACATGGCTATGCTGCCTGCAGCTGGCCTGCCTCTCGTCCCAATTCATCTCATAGTTGGAAGACGACAATTTGGAGAACTGATGGAAAGTGCTGGGACTTTGAGGGCCTGATGAATCCTCCGTGAGCTCACCTCTTGATGAAGCCCATTTATCTGCCCACCCTCTCTACAGGGTATTTCTCAAATAAATTTTCCATAACTATGTATCAAATTTTCTCCACCTGGTTACATTTAAATTTCTTTTTCTTCTGAAATGTGCAGCAAAATCGGAAAAATAGTAGAAAGAACTCCCCACTGCCATCCCCCCAAGACCATGTGAGAGTAAATTACCTACATGATACCCCTTCACCCTTGAATACTTAGTGTGTTATTACAAATCAGGTTATTCTTTTCCATAATCTCAATACAATCAAAATAGGGAGATATTGGGCCGGCCCGGTGGTGCACTGCTACAGTGCGCTGCTTGGGAGCGCGGCGGCACTCCCGCCGAGGGTTCGGATCCCACATACAGACCGGCTGCTCACTGGCTGAGGGAGGTGCGGGAGCAACACGGGTTGCGATCCCGTTGCTGGTCCCGGTCCAGTACGGGCACGACACTGAAGGTTGCGATCCGTTGCCGGTCACGAAAAAAAGACAAAAAGGAAAAACAATAAAAAAAATAAAAATAAAATCGGGCACGACACTGAGGGTTGCGATCCGTTGCCGGTCACGAAAAAAAGACAAAAAGGAAAAACAATAAAAAAAATAAAAATAAAATAAAATAAAATAAAAATAAAATAGGGAGATATTAACATTGCTACATTACTACCATCTAAACCTAATACCCCATTCGAATTTCACCAGTTCTCCCCAAAATGTTGTATACAACAAAATGATCCAATCCAGAGTCACATGTTGCATGCACTTACTTGTCACATCTCTTTAGTCTCTTTTTGTTTGGTATAGTTCCTCAGTCTTTCCTTAACTTTCATAACCTTCACTCTTTTGAGGAATATGTGCCTGTTCTTTTGTATGTCCCACAATATGACATTGTCTGGTGTTTCATCCTGAATAGATTCAAGTTGGGAATTTTGGTCAGGACTACAAAAGAAGAGGGGCTGGCTGGTTAGCTCCGTCGGGTAGAGTGCAGTGTTACAACACCAAGGGCAAGGGTTTGGATCCTCCTGTCAGCCAGCCACCAAAATAAAACAACACAAAAAAGAGAAGAAAAGCTCCTGTATCTTCTCAATTCATCCCGTTTCATGGCACACAAGTCCCATTACTGGTGATGTTAATTTTCATCATTTGATTAAGGTGTTGCCTGCCAGCTTTCTCTATTGAAAAGTTTTTTTTTAATCTTTGTAATTAATAAGTATTTTGTATAAGTGTTCTGTTCCTCATCAAACTTTCACCAACTAATTTTAGCATCCATGGATGTTTCTTGGATGAGTTAGTTATTATTATGAAGATTCCATCATCCCTTCCACATTTAGTAGTTGACATTCTAACTTAAGGAAAAGCTTTCTCTTCTTCCCATTCATTTATTTATTTAAATCAGTATAAATTTGTGCATTATTATTTTATTTAGTGGGTCATAATTTGTTGTGATCATTATTGATCCTGATGCTCAAATTACCCCAGATTTGGCCAGTGGGAGCCCCATTAGACTGGCTCCTATGTCCTCTCCCCACCATTCTTTTAGTACTTCTTTGCTTTCTGATACAAAAAGATGTTCTAAACTTCTCTTATAGTCTCCCTGCCTCAGCTCTGGTATCACTCACTTCTCTGTTTCTTCCTTTTAGGTGAGAACGGTATTTAGAAACTATGATCTGGGCACTGGGTGTGCTCAGTACTATTGGAATATCATTCTCCCAGGCCCTCTAGTGGACAGAGCTAGGAAATACATGTATGTAGGAGCCTGTGTATTTGCATTTATTTCTGTATTTAGTTACATACACTGAAAACCATGAGTTCACACTAACAACTGCAAAACCAACTCCATACCACAGGGTTTATTCTAGTTTTCTTCCTTCCCATATTTGTAACAGTAGGAAGGCAATTAGGCAACATTTTATTAGTTAATGAAAATCAGGTGGAGAACTTGATAGATTCTAAATGAAGGGGCTGAGTGATTAAGAAAATAGGAATCAAATACATAGTTCCCCTCTCATTTTGCTCCGTGAAAATTTATCTCAAACCTGTGCCTCTACAATGCCTTTTATAATAAAAAGCAGTCAGATGTTGGAAATGCTATGAAATTTGGTTCTTTGTTTCTAGAGCATCCAGGGGGTCTACTAATGGAAGGTAGAGTTATTATATAGAATTATGCATCCTTTTCCCTAATAATGAAAAACGAATGGATATTCAATCTAAAAGTTGAAAAAATTTATTGAATAATGTTAAACCTTAATAGTTCTTGTGTTCAATAAACCTAGAAACATTCTCTTTTAGGTACTTTCTGAATTGTGGGCAGTGAAAATTTAAGAAGCATTTCTATTTATCAAAAAATCAATGTTTCTTTTAATTAAAGGGACTTAGGAAAAACAAAAAAATGCTTTTCCCAATGTGTTGCTTACAGTTGTTCTTCATTAGACAATACCAGGTTTCCATTAGCTCTGTGTAATCCTAGAGTCTAGTAAGCACTGTCAAATGCTGAAGATGTTACTGCATAAGTCTGATTTAGAACAGCTATTTGGAACTCAATTATTAATGGAATTAGTGTCCTGAATGTCAGCAAGAGCATTGCCTTAGGTAAAGGCTGCAAAGGAAATCATATTAGGGTGGAATTTCCTCTCCTTAGAGGCTCCTCTCAGATTACATGATTCACTTAGCTATCTCCTGTCAGGGAAGTGGACATATGGGCCTCGATCTGATCCCGGGGAAGAACCAAAAGGAGAAGTTAAGGGGTTTTGAGAGTTCTGAGATGGCATCAATTCCAAAGCATTTGTATTGCTTTAGGTCCCACTGAGCATTTACAAAATAGCACCAGTAAGGTTGGCACAAACTGGCAAACAGAGAAGAACAGAATGGAGAGGAGCCCTTTTAGGAAAAATTCAGCAGCATTCTCACTGAGCATTTACAAAATAGCACCAGTAAGGTTGGCACAAACTGGCAAACAGAGAAGAACAGTATGGAGAGGAGCCCTTTTAGGAAAAATTCAGCAGCATTCTATCCGGCAGGCAAGTTTGCATTTCTCTTCTCTGAGACCTTCCCAGGAACGCCAGCAAGCGTGATGGCCTGTCTGTGGCCCTGCATCCTGGTGGCTGCCTCGGGTGAGTCCTTTCAATGATTTTACTAGGCACTGAGTATTAGCTCTTAGAAGCTAGAGATGATATTTTTATACGCTGTGCTATAAAGCTGCTCATGAGTGTTCATTTTTATTCATCATCTGTGAAATGCCAGTCCACTGAAGCTACATGGAGATCAATGGTTTGTTTCTGACTTTGTTCCTACAGTTACAGATATGCATAGATGGAGCGTCACACGGTGGGACTTTTACACATAGCTGAAAATATGCCCTGATAAATCTCTGCTTCTCTCGAAATCAAGCTCTCTGCAGCAATTTACATTGAGAGTTTGGGGCATTCTTTTCCAGATTTGCTTTTACGTGTGGGTAATATATATATATTTTTTGTCCAAAATAGCCTTGGCTTCATTATAAGCTTTTAGCAGTCCAGAGAAAGAGTCCCTTAGATAAGTCATGGCTACAGACACCTGTATATTATTTTGGTACTAAGGCTTTGATATATATAGGTAATGAGTATATCTCTACAGACAGGTACTCTAAACTTGCAAGTTTTGAGGATACAATTGTTCTTAAAAACACTTTCAAAACTAATATATTTTTTTCTAAATTTTTTGGAACTATACTTCCATGGTGCCAGTGTTAACTCTACTGAAATTATAGTTTGGATACAATTGATTCATAGTAAATGTGCACAAATCAAGAATTTAAGTTTATGATAGTATTTCCCAACATCCCACTTTCTTGAGGGTTTTCCTAGAGTTCATATCTGATTCTCAAGTTTTAAAATGTAACTGGAAGTGGAATGAGTCCATTACAGAGATGAGTAAGGAATTTTATAGCCAAGAAGCTGAAAATGATTTTTTTATTGGGTAGGGAAGAAAATAGCCACTTATCATTAAAGTATAAAAATCCTGAATGTTGAACTTAAAGGATAAAAGCATATCTTACTCATAAAAATAAAAATGGAGGAAATTTCATTAAATGCCAAATGAGTTTCTTTGCAGAAAATAATTATGAACACTAAACTAAGATAAAACAGAGAAATGAAGGTAAGAAAACAAAAGGAATTCTTCTTAACAATACCTCTTTCTAATGCTTTGTATTATGCTTGAGTTTTGTTCTAACTGTAGCAGAAATTGTGTGTCTAATAACCAGTGCTTTACCAAAAATCATAATGAGGACATTTGTTGCAGAAAAAGCTGCCCTTTTGGAGTTTTACTGAGTTAATATCAAGATGATGTATAAATAAAAAAGCACCAAACCAATCACCAATACTTGGCTGCTCCCTGGAGACAGTGTGCTGGAGTAGAAGGAGGTCTGGAAGAGGAGAGAGATCTAGCTCTTAACGGTACTACTCACCAGCCATATGACCCTGGGCAAGTCAATTAATCTCTTAGAGACTCAGTTTCCCTATCAGTTAACTTTATTTTGGATATTCATGAAGAGCATATAAGATAGCATTGGGAAATTGTAAGGTGCAATGCAAATGTGAGATAGTATTAACCTGAAAACACACACACACACAGAAAATAACAGTCTGTTTCTGCCTAATAATGTACACCATGCAACATGTCAGTCTTCCTTTTGTTTTGGTTACTCATTGCTGTTGCTAAGATTCACAGGGAGCCAGGTCAGTGTAGGGTCATGACTAAGAGCTTGGGCTTCATATCCAGACCAGCTATGTTTGAATTCCAGCCTCCTTTTTTTGCAAGGTGTATGACCTTGGACAGTACTAACCTCACTAAGCTTGTATTTCCTCACCTGCAGTTATAGTGCACTACCCATAGAAAACCTGTCTCACAAGGTTGTTGTGAATATTAAATGAGAACATTCACATGAAAGACTTAGCTTCATGCCTGGCATACAGTATTCAGTTAGTATTGGGGATTCAATATTACCACACACCTAAATCTCTATTTCTTTGTAACTTCTCAGATACAAGTATAACTCTCCTATGATCTTAAACACACATGCTAACTAAAGCAAGAATAGATCGCTTCATCAAAGTGCCCCCAACACTTTAAGATAGGTGTATATGAGCAAGTAGCTCTTTAAAACAGGGAAAACAGAGGAATAATTATATTGTATTCTTATCTTCTTTTAAAATCTCTTTTCATCTACAAGTGCTTCATAGCTCAATCCCTAACACATTTCAGAAATCTTACAAGTGAATTATTTGAAGCTGATTATTAGCATTCAGGGAGGCAGTGTTTCCATGGGTCTTTTCTAGGTCTGTTGATAGTGTCCATCAGTGTCTGTTGAAACATCCCTGAACCGTGAGTCATTTAGTGCTTGTGTGAATGTCACGTTAGCTTTCAAGGGGCATAATTTACTGTTAATTAATGGTCATTTAAATCCTTAATCTCTCTCTTGTAATTGATCTTTCTCCTCAGGCAAATTTGCATTCATAGAAGAAATGTAATTTATTATTTCTTCCCATCTTAAACAAAGGACTCTTTCCCCTTTTGGTTTATATAAGTGCACTTCTGTTTCCTTATTATTTTTCTCTTTTCATTGCTTGTTTCTTTTTTGTTCCTAGTACTAGCTTCCAAAACTTTCTCTTTTTACCCAACGACTTTAATACATTCTGGAAAATATGTGTTTATCCATAGGGAACCTATGAATGGTTTCTTAGAAAAGACAGCAGAGGAGAATTTGAATCTTTATAAGTGGAGGGTGCAGGGAACTCACATTCATTTCTCAGAATTCTGTTTTAACTACATCTCAGGTAGTTTCCTGTATTGAAGCATGCACATTTCAATGTTTCCCCAACTGCGACTTGAATTGGGAGCTTCCAAGCGAGGTAAAAGTGAAGCTGCCCAAAGCAAAGTTTGCAGAAAAAGCACTGGGACAGTTTCGCTTTGTGCTCCTGACTTCCCTTCCCTGGGGCACGTCAATGAGAAATGTTCTCAGGTACAGAGATTCACAGCACACTATTTTGACAATAACAGTTTACAAAAACCCTAAAAATGATGCCCAATGCAAACCACCCACCTAAGTCCCGCACGATTGAACAGCTGATGCCATTTTAGGCATCTTCTTGGGTGAATAGTTAAGATGTAAAAATGCTCATTAGATTCCCAGTTCTTATGGTAATGAAAGTGAATATTCCATTGCCCACAATGAGTCTTGAATTGCACCTCCAGCATCGTTGTTAGCATTTTGGTCACACTGACATTGATAAATCATAGAAATCGCTGCCTGTGGCGGCAAGTGACATGACATCATTCATAAAGAAATGAGTATAAACAGGATTGTCGCACAGGGAGAAGCCATCTCATTTACAGTTTCCTGCTGGATCCCTCATACCTTCAGCAGCTCATCAAAATAACCATCAAAACCACTGAGAGCCCAGGTGAATTCACACGCAGGACACTACAGATAGATTTCACTCATGCACCGTGTCAGGAGGTGTACAATTGGCTTCAGTCCAGTGACTTAGTGAAGCTTTGAATCCCCTGAGGGCTGGCAAAGCTTGTGAACAAAATATCTTTTTGCAATTCTGAGAAAGCCCTCACTGATTTGTCACTTCCAATTGTCGTTGCTCATTTCTCTTGCTTCTTTTCTCCTGGCCTCCCCTCCCTCTGCACCAATCACTGTTTCCCTGCAAATCAAGATTCCGGAGATGGAGGAAATGGTTGTTCCCTGGAACCAGAGAGAATTTTCCCAAAACAAAGATCTCATTTTCTGACAAGTGCATTTTATTTAAAGACAGACAGAGTGAGAAAAGAGATAGTTCAGGAGAAAAGTATGAATTGGAATCTCCTTAATCCCATTACCTAGAAATACAGATCTTTGGGTTCACTGGTTTGTCCATGTTTTTGCATGTGTTTTCTACTTCATTGGTGAATTAAAAATGAACAATTAAAAGATAAACAAAGGCAGGAGTTAAGTTTGGCTAAGTGTATAGGTGGGTTTCTTCTATATGCCAGGCGAGGGTGATACAGGAATAAAGAAAGGAGTCTGTCTCCAAGATCCATGATTGCTGCAAAAGAAATCATAGGTGTAGTTTGCATCTTTAGTGATGGGGTTGGTTTATTTATCTTTACAATGAGATTTCTCTATTGGGCACTTAGGCCATCAGCTTACTTTAAATAAGTGTCTGCCAAAGAGCCCACCAGCTGGCTGTGAGTTTATGCCAACTGGGGTAAGTTGAAAACTATATTTTACTAAGAGTCATTGAGTCCTGAACAGTCTGAAATCTCCTAAATATGCTAAGTTCCTCTAAATTTCATCTTCACAGTGATAATTTTCTTTTCCAGGAATTCTCGCCATAGATACACCTCATCCCAGGAATTCTGTTCTGCATCATCTCACCAAGCAGCTATTGCAGAAATATCACAAGGAAGTGAGACCAGTTCGTAACTGGACCAAGGCCACCACCGTCTACCTGGACCTTTTTGTCCATGCTGTACTGGATGTGGTAAGGACCATCTTGCCCTTTCCTGTTCTTGTTACCTGGAACTGGGTAATTTATAATGAAAAAAATATTTATTGCTTACAATTTCAGAAGCTAGGAAGTCCAAAGTCCAGGGAATACATATGGTGAGGGTCTTGGTGGTAGTGACAGTGACCTAGGGGTCTCACATGGCACAACATGGCAGAGCAGAGAGAAACTAATGTCTCATGTGCTCTTCTTTTAAAGCCTTCAGAACCATGCCCCTGACTACCATTTTTTAAAAATTTTAATTATCTATTTATTTATTCATTTTTAATTTTTATTGAATCATAATTGGTTATACGTATTTTGGGGGTTCAATGCTGACATATGTTGATCAAATCAATATTACTAGTATATATATTGTTACAAATTATACTTATTCTTTATGCCCCTTGTCCAAGCTCTCCCCATCTCTCTCTCCCTCCCCCTTCCCACCACTGATAACCCTAGATTTCTTCTCTCCCTCTGAAAGAGTAATGGTTACTCTGTTGATTTGTTGCCTAGATGATCTGTCCAATGCTGAGAGGTGTGTTCAGGTCCCCCAATATTATCATAGAGCAGATGCTTCTTCTGTCACTCTGGAATGGGCTTTGTGGAGAGACACATCCTCTTCTTTGCTTTGGTCTCTGCTGGTGACTCTCCTTGTGTCTTTTTTTTTTTTTTTTTTTTTTTTTTTGGTGGCTGGCTGGTACTGGGATCCGAATCCACAACCTTGATTTTTTAAGCTTGTGTTCTAACCAGCTGAGCTAATTGGCCAGCCCCTGACCACCATTTTTAATCCATGCACTACTGCAGGGTCCTACAATCTAATCACCTCTTCAAGGCCCCACCTTTCAATTACCATGATAGGATTTCCCACCCTCAACAGTTACAGTGGGGATTTAAGCTTCAGTGAGGTTGGGAGGGCATCGAATTGACAGCACACATTCTACACTCCCACCAGTAAGCCAGGAGAGCTCCCACTGCTTCACGTTCTCAGGGACGTTTGGCATTATGGGTCTTAATTTTAGCCTTTCTAGTAAGGCTGTAGTGGTATTTCATTGTGGTTTTACTTTACGTTTCCCTAAAGGCTAATAATTTTGAATTCTTTTTCACGTGCTTATTGGCAACTTACGGATCTTTCTTTGTGAAGTGCTTGTTTAATCCTTTCCCATTTTTTATTGAGTCATTGTTCTTTTTATTATAGATTTATAGGAGCTATTTATATACTCTGGGCATAAACCCTTTGTCAGAAATGTGCTGTAAATGTTGATTCCCAGTCTGTGTCTCGCCTACTCATTTTTGTAATGGGTCTTTTGATGAATAGAAATTTAAAAATTTGATGAAGCCTATTTTTATCAACTCTTCATAATTATTAGTGCTTTCAGGGTCCTTAGAAATCTTTGCTACTCAAGATCATATTCTCTTATATTTTCTGTTAGAAGTTTTACCATTTTTAGCTCTGAGATTTGTGTCTATAATCTATTGAAAATTAATTTTTGTGACGGTGTGAGAAATGGGTCAAGGTTCTTTTGTTTGTGTTTGTGTTTGTTTTGTTTTTACATTTGGATAGGAGTTGTTCCAGCACCGTTTTTTGAAAAGCTTTTCCTTTCCCCCATTAAAATGATGCTTTGGTGCCTTGGCCAAAAATTAAATTGACTATATAAGTATCAGTCTATCTCCATTGAAACCAGGTAGTGTAAATCTTCTAACTTTGTTCTTTATTTTAAAAATTGTTTGGTTTTTAAGTTCTTTGCATTTCTGTTTAAATTTTGGAATCAACTTGTCAATGTCTATTTTTTTAAAAAGCCTGCTGGTAGTTTGGAATGGTGTGGAATCTGCAGATCAATCTGAGGGAGAATTGACATCTTAACAATATTGAGTTTTCCAATTCTTGAACTTGGTCTATCTCTCCATTTATTTGTAATTTTCAGTGTAGAAGTTTTCTATAAATTTTATCAAATTTATCCTGAGGTACTTTTGATGTTACTATAGACACTAAAGTTTTCTGTTTTCTTGTTATTTGATGTTATTATATAGAAATATGGTTGTTATAGTATATTTGCTTTGTATCCTGCAACCTTTCTAAATTCACTTATTAGCTATGGTAATTTGTGCAGAGTAATATTTTCTACATATATAATCATGTCATTTGCAAGTAATTTTACTTCTTACTTTGTAATCTGTATGTTCTTTATTCTTTTTTTCTCATCTTATTTCATTGCCTAAGACTACTACTACAATGTTAAATAGAAGTGATGAAAGCAGGCATTCTTGCTTGTTCACATTCTTAGCGAAAAGTCTTTCTCCATTAAGTATAATGTTAGTTATAGGTCTTCTTTATCAGGTTAAGGAAGTTTTCTCCTATTTTCTCTATGCCGAGATTTTTTTTCAAAATCATGAATGTGTATTGAAATGTGTCAGATGTCTTTTCCACACCTATTTGGATGATCATATGATATTTCTCTTTTATTCAGTTAATGTGGCAAATTATATTCATTGATTTAAACATTTTTTCAATTTTTCAATTTTTTATTTTTATTTTTGGTGGCTGGCCAGTACGGAGATTGAACTCTGGACCTTGGTGTTATCAGCACCATGTGATTTTCAAATTTTTAATCACCCCTGAAAAACTGAGGTAAACCACACTTAACCTTGATATATTATTCTTTATATATATCTGGATTTTTTTCCTTCCTTAATGTCTGATAGAATTTACCAGTAAAACCACAGGAGTCTAGAGTTTTCTTTGTGGGAAGGTATTCAAGAGTGAATTCAATTATATAAACACAGAGAGAGATGTTCGGATTTTCAATTCCTTCTTGTGTCAGTTTTGATAATTTGTATTTTTCAAGGAATTTATGCCATCTAATTTGTCAAATTTATTGCCTTAAAGTTGTTCACAATTTTCCCTTTTTATTATTATAATATCCATTGGGTTTCTAGTAATACAGCTTCTTTTGTTCTTTGTATTGATAATTTGCATTTTCTCTTATTTTTCCTTGACCCATCTTGCCAAAGGTTTATCAACTTTCTTTATTTTTTCAAAGAACCAAATTTGGGGGGCCGGCGTGGTGGCGCACTGCTACGGTGTGCTGCTTGGGAGTGTGGCAGTGCTCCCGCTGAGGGTTCGGATCCCACATACAGACCGGTTCCCGCTCACTGGCTGGGCGAGGTGCGGGCGCAGCACCGAGGTTTGCGATCCCGTTGCCGATCCCGGTCCGGTATGGCCGCGACACTGAGGGTTGTGATCCGTTGCCAGACACGAAAAAAGACAAAAAAAAAAAAAAAGAACCAAATTTGGGATTTGTAATTTTTTCTATCGTTTATTTTCTATTTCACTGATAACTGGTTTTATCTTTATTTTTTTTTTCTTGCTTTGGGTTAAATTGTTCTTCTTTAGTTTCTTTCTTTTTTCTTCTTCTTTTTTTTTTTTTTAGAAAGATGACTGGTAAGGGGATCTTAACCCTTGACTTGGTGTTGTCAGCACCACGCTCTCCCAAGTGAGCTAACCGGCCATCCCTATACAGGGATCCGAACCTGTGACCTTAATGTTGTAACTCTGTGCTCTAACCAGCTAAGTTAACTGGCCAGCCCTTCTTTGGTTTCTTAAAGTGGAAACTTAGATAGTTTATTTTAAACCTTTTTTCTTTTTTAGTATAAGCATTTCAAACTATGAATTTTCCCCTAAACACTTCTTTGGTTGTATCCAAATTTTGATGCATTTTAAAATTAAGGTATAAATTCATCTTTTTGAAGCCAATCCTTCCCCTCTACCTCCAGCCCCTGGCAACCACCGATTTGATTTTTTTTCCCTTGTAGTTTCGCCTTCTCCAGAATATGATATACATGGAATCATACTGTGTTTTACCTTCTGTGTCTGGCTTCTTTCACTTGGCGTAATGCCTTTGAGTTTCATTCATGTTGTTGCATATTTCAGTAGTAGTATTCTATTCTAAAGATGTACTGCAAAAAAAAAAAAGGAAAAAAAAGTACTGCAATATGTTTATTTATTTACCAGTTGCTGGACATGTTTATCTATTTACCAGTGTGGGACACGTTTCCATTTTGAGGCAATTATGAATAAAGCCACTATAAAAATTTGCATATGTTTTCATTTCTCTTGGGTAAATAGTTAGGTGTGGTATTGCTGAGCTATATGACAAGTCTATGCTTAATTTCATAAGAAACTGTCAAACTGTTTTCCAAAGTGGCCATATCATTTTGCATTCCACTTACAATGTGTGAGAGCTCCAGTTCCTCCACATCATCACCAGCACTTGATAATGTCAGTCTTTTAAATTTTAACCATTCTAGTAGGTTGGAAGTAGTATCTCAATGTGGTTTTAAACTCATTTTCTTAAAGACTAACATTGTTAAACATTTTTTGTGTGCTTTTTTCCCAACTGTATATCTTTGTTAGTAAGATGTCTCCTCAAATCTTTTATCCATTTTTAAGTTGTGTTATTTATATTTTATTATTAAGTTGCAAAAGTTCTTTATACTTTTTAGCATATTTTTGAACTCTATTCTATCCAATTATATATATGTTTCTATATATATCTATATATGTTTAAATTTTTATGAATTCTAATTTTGTTATTATTATCATTTTTTGATTATTTTATGAATAGAACTTTTGGTTCACATGTACAAAATATTTTTCTAACTCCAGGTTATAAAATTTTGGTTTCTTCTGAATGTTAGATAGTTTTATTTTACATTTAGATCTATGATTCATTCTAAGTTAACTTTTGTAGAAAATATAAAGTTTAATTCGAGATTCATCGTATTCTGCATATGAATGTCCAATAGTTCCAACACTATTATTGAAGGAATATTTTAGCCATTAAATTGACTCTGCATTTTGTCAAAATTATTTGGCCATATTTGCATGGGTCTGTTTCTTGACTCGTGATTCTGTTTTATTGCCTTTGCCAATTCCATATTGTCTTAATTTCTAACACATTAATGTGTGTTTAAACAGAGTAGTATAATTCTTC